CTGCTTCCTCGTCCCGATGCTTAACAAGACTCCATCTGGAAGCGCTTTCATCGGCGCCTGAATTGGCAATGGTCCAGCTGCTCGTTTGGATGGAACAACTCTCCCTCCAAAGTTGACCTGGTACTCCCAACTTTGCGTCCCGATGTTCGAGTAGTAGGCCAAATACTTGCTCCATGGCCTGTTGAGTCTCCTCACCAAACGAGTCAGCATCACCTGGGTCCCATCACCAACAATGTATGCATCTTGTGCTTCTGTTTTGCCAAGGAAAAGCGCTAGCCTCCACATAGGGTTTCCCTTGCCAGATTGAGGTTTGCTGTAGGCGTAGACCGGGCACCCAAAAGGAACAAGAACTCCCTCGTAGGGCTTTCCCTGCGCCAATTCGAAGCTCGTAACTCCTCTTGAAGCTTGGAACCTGTTGAGTGTCCAACAGGCATGCCGGGCTGCCCAACTCCACAACCCATGGTTTGTGTTCAGCTTCAAGCCCGCGCGGCTCATCAGATCTTCCATCATGGTGCAAGCTAAACCCCTAACCTTCTGGATTGCATTCTCTGCCAAAGAGTTTCCAGCTGAGTCCTTCACCTTCGTGGTGTAGATCCTGGTCCTTAGGCCCATGGCATGTCTGCTGTTCAGGATAATCCTCAACAGCGCTCTCAAAGTCGGCTCATTGTCACTGTAAATGCCCACCTCCATATGTCCAAGTCCTTGGATGAAGGTCATCACTTCTCTCGCCATCAAATGAACTTGGTCCTTTCCTCGAAGCGGGACTGCCCCCAATGCACCTGTCTGGGATTGCAGATTTCACCTCTCGCAGTGGCGGCGGTTCACCATCTCGATGATCTTGTGGCTCTCCCTCTCCGAAGAGATCAATCGCGTCCTCACTCTCCATCTCTCCGCGATCCAGGGGTTGCGGGTTTCTGTCAACGGCTCCAGCCTTCGTGTAGCAGAAATCAAGGCTGATGATGGGGATGCCACTTACCCTGGAAGCTCCTGAGCGTAGGCGCCTATCAGGTCGACCTCTGTTTACCAAGCACGCTTCACACCATGGTGCGTACGGTGTGTGTGTGTCAGGCAATGTCTCTCTTGCTCTTCTGGGCTTGGCACTGCAATGAGGTTTTGTCCTCTCGGCACCCGAGCCTCCTGCATCTGCGCTGCTGCAACTGCCTCGACTGCGGCCTTCAACTCAGCTTCACGTACATGACTCGCCAATCTCTGGAAACATTTCATCCGGCTTCCTGACTGACTGATCCTGAAGAAGTTGCAAGCCGCTCTCAACTCTCGAAGCCTCGAGGTAGGTCTTAACTCCACCTCATTGACAATGACGCTTTCTGGCCTCTTGCTCTGCTCCGTCTTCCAGCCTTTCTCTCACGCCCTCATCAGGTACTTCAGGTTGATTGGGCTCATCCATTGGAATCTCGTTCTCTCTGCCTTCCTGAGCTTCCACTGGCTGCATGATCTCTGCACCGACCTCAAAGCCCATCTGCTCTGTTGTCATGCCTTCTTTGGTGAGGATCGTCATCACCAGGATATTCTCCTCCACCCCCTCCAGTGGTTCCTCCTGGTTTCTCATCGAGAGCAAGTCCTCGCACATCTCCATGAGATGCCACTGTCGCCCACTCTTCATCAGAGTAATCCTTTTCCATGGCGTCGTCGAAGAAATTGCTCCCATAGATTGAGGAGGACTTTGGTACTGCTTGCCCAAGTGCACCCCAATCCACATCTCCCCACTCTGTTTCCAACCACTTTGGAACTTGGCCTTCTTCTCTAGGTCGTCTGACAGCCGCGCCTTCAGGCCCTCCTCCATGTGTGGGCCTCCACACCGATGGCGCGTACACGACACTCGGCCACCAAACTTTTGTTTTGCAGCTTCAGCGGAATTCGGACTTCTCCTCCACGTCCTGCTCCAAAGACCAATGCATGGTGGCACCCATCGATGCCCCAGCCGCTTTCCATCAGCTTGCCATAGAAAATGATGGGTTGTGAGATTCCCTCAGCAAAGTGCGCTTTCTCCCTGATGAGAACTGTCCGGCCATCTGCAGCCGTGCAGACAAAGCTGACATTCTTGTATCCCTTGATCGGGATTCTTTCTCCCTGAGCATCCTGAAGTCGTGGCGCTCGCTCCAACAACTCGGAGCCAGCCTGCAAGTAGGAAGCAGGCAAGATTGTAGCATCCGCCCCCGAGTCCACGATCACTTGGCAGAGCCCGTCATGGTCCTCGAAGTACTGCTCTTCCTCCTCATCCTGCACCAATCTAACCCCGTAGGTCAGTTCGCCTTCAGAGCTGGCCTCATCTTCCTGATCCTCAGCCGCCAGGTGATAGAACTTGATCGCTCGAACAGCTCCTTCACCTGTGTTTGGCCTCAGGTCGAAGATCATCACATTACTGGATTCCTGTGAAACTTGTGAAACTTCCTCCTCCACGAACTCGATGCACTTGATGCCAGGTTGTCTTGTAGTTGTTGCCTGGCTTGAACTTGTCGTGACCGCAGTGGCAGTATCACTGGGTAAGCCTTGACTGTCTGTCACCTGTTTCACCTTTCTCCAGCAGTCACGGGCCAAATGCCCTGGCTTGCCGCACACGAAGCACTCCTTCACTGGCTGTCAAACCCCTTCCCCAAGCCTTTGCCACCCTCTAGCTTCCATGCGCCTTTCTGCTGGCCCTTACCACCACCTCCATGGTCTTGGCCCTTCTGCTGCCCTTTGCTCTTGCCGCCACGCTTACCACCTTTCTGGTCTCCTTTCATACAGGTCCTCCTTCTTGCCCAGCCATCGTAGGGCTCGATGTTCTCAAAGTCCTGAGGCTCACCTCCACGCTCAAGTAGGTACCCTCGAGCTCCTCCAAGCAAACCACCTCCAGGGGCCTCTCGCGCTGATTGCCGATCTTTTCCTCCAGGGAGCCTCTGGCGCTGATTGGCCGTTCCATGGCACCAGCGCCTCGCGAGGAAACGGCCGTGGCCTGGCAGCCAAGTTCCTGGAGCCTCGCGTCAGACCAGAGGAATGACGATCCTTGGCTCCGCTACCACGCGGATCTTTTGATGCTGCAAAGCGGGCCTTCGGTTCACGTGATTTCATGTGTGCTTGTCATCCTTACGCAGGGGTCTGAGTGCTTGTTTCCTCGTTATTGGATGCATGGCGGCCACGGAAGAGAGACTTTCTGCGGCACTCGGGGAAAGGGGCCGACCTCTGCCCCCCTCCCTACTTCGATAGAAACTTGGTCGCTGCTTAGAAACAATAAGCTACTAGGAACAAGTGCATCGCTTCTAGTAACAAGTGCCTTACTAGTAGTAACAAGAAGCTACTAATTGGCTCCTAGCAATACTACTACTAACAAGAGGCTACTAGTAGCTCCTTGGACTACTACTAGTAACAAGAAGCGCAGCAGCTACTACTAGCAAAAAGCTACTAATATTTCCTGGCATTACTACTAGTAACAAGAAGCTACTAGTATTTCCTGGCATTGCTACTAGTAGCAAGAAGCTGCTCGTCGCTCCTGGCATTACTACTAGTAGCTAGTTACTAGTAGCTCCTGGCATTGGTACTAATAGTACCTCCTGGCATTACTACTAGGAACAAAGGCTAAAATCGTTTTGCGCAACCTTTAATTGGTTTGCACTGAAAACTGCTGAAGGCTCTCCTGAAAGAGGATCTGTGGAGCCCTTTAGAAAGAGCAAAAAAGGAGATCGAAAAAAACAAAAGAAACGTTTCTGCTTAGAGAAGTTTTAAAGCTCAAAAAAAGAGCTACTGAAAAACGTGTCTCTCTGCACAGAAGCGTTTCTGCATCGCGTTGCGTTCTCAGATGTGGCTCTCTTTTTTCCAGCAATGCACAAGGTCAGAAGAGAAAGAAGAGAAATGAAACCGAGAGAAGCGGCAAGAGAAAAGTCTCTTGCGATGCGGCAAGAGACCTAAGGAGGGAACCAGAAGCTCCTAGGAAGGTCCTAGGAACATAGAACTGAGAGACCGGTGAGATCGCACTGAAGGAGCGTCTGCAAAGTGAGTCGTTTTCTCTCAAGTTCCGAAAGAAAGTGGTCTATTTCTTTTCTCTACGATCTTGTCCGTTGATCGATTCGCTTTTGTCTTCGAAGATCGCCTTTCGTGTCCGGGGCTCGAAATCTGTCAAGAACCGAACCGGGATAAACGAAGCGATGGGCTGCGCGGGTTCTCCGCGAAGTTTTTCCAACCCTGAAGGGTCTCATCAAAAAAGTTAGAGAAAAGGTAACTCTGCCCCACCTAGAAGCGATGGCCTCTGGCCTGGCCTCCAACCTACTAGCGAGCAAGTCTTTTCCTTGACTCAGTCGATGTACATCACAGGATTTGCTCACCAAAGCCGAAGGCACACTTCTTCACCGTTTATACCGCGCTGGTTTAGTGAAGTGTTCCCCTAAAGCACTTCGGTAGAACATTGTAAAACCGTACAAAATTAGTCCAACTGACTGAAGACCAGAGCTTTGCCAATCTCCACACAGTAAAAACCGTACAAAATGTCCATTATGTTTTCTATTCAATAGCTCAAGTCCCTCAACTATGAATGTTACAACCAAAAGGCGCAATAAAAACGATATCTTTTACCATGTTCATTGTGTGGGGGGCTAGCGAGTACCTCTTAGCAAAACGACACACGCGAACTGGCTGGGAGCCTTTTGATGAGACCTTTGCACTAAAGGTTCGGGAAAATAGAAGAGACTGCCTAGTTTGGGTCAACAAGGAGAGAAACAACTTTGAAACATTTGGACTTTTGAAAGATAGGCGTTGTGTGAAATGGGTTAGTTTTCTCGGCCCCTTCCCTCAACGATCGACCCATCATGGCACCAGTCAGTGGTGGAAGGGCTAAGGTGACTAGGGCGATTTGAGTGGCAGAAGGCATAAACATTTGGATATGGGCCCTAGGCGCACGGGTGGCTGTCACGGTCCACAACCAAGGAAATTGACGAACCATATATTGTTATTAATTGCGTTTCCATGGGTTCTTTTCTTCCTTCAATAGTAACAACTTGGAGCGGCCGCACCTCGCAACTGAAGCTGGCGAACCTCTTTGCGCAAGTCCCTGGTGACCAACAATGACAGGACAACTCTTTTGTGGTGTCTGAATCATTTTTGTAATGAAGAGATGACCATTAGGGATGCTTCAATATTTCTCAGGCGTGGAACAAATTTGAATCAGCAAATAAACAAAGAACCTATTCATGAAGGCCCCCTTGCCCTCAACTGGGGAGAGTTTGTTTGAAGACTGAACCGTAGCCACAGGACACTACTTGTTAACTTAACTAACCCTCTTCATACTTTGGCTACTTGCCCGCCTCCTCACAGCCTACTCTTCGCGGCTTTGTCTTTATGTTTAAAAAGGAAAAGCATCCGACTCGTCCAACTCGTCTCCTGTTGATATCGCGCTCTCGATCTCGCTTCTTTGAGGCTTTGTCCAACTCCTGCGAAACTCCGCTCCGAAACTCCGAAACTGCGCATTTTGTTTCCCAATTCGTGTCCCAAAAAGCGCTTTGGTTCTAGTTCTTTGTTCGTTCTCGTTTGTTTTTTTGGGCTAGTTTGTGGCAGCGGGGTGCCATACGCAAACAGGCCCATCATTGTAGACTAGCAGTGCGCCCCTTTGGGGAGCAGTTGTTAGGGGTGTAGCCCTCCAAGAAACTGGTTGTCGCGTAGCACAGGTCGCGTCTGCACCTGTGGGGTTCTGGGCGCGGCTGCCACATGGTCACTTCTCCCGAGCACTCCAGTTCTGTCTTGTATGGCTCATCTTTCATGCCCATCTAGGCGGCCTTTCCCTCATTGGATTCATCGGTGACAATGTCATACCATTCATTCCTGCCACGTGAACTTCGTCCTTTCCTCCTCCCTCTCATCTCCAATCATCGAAAGTTCAAGCTTTGCTAAATCCACAAAACGGACCAGGTTGGGACTATCCATTGGTCCATTGGCTCTTTGAAGATGAAGCATGTGCCTCAGAAAGTTCAATCTGTTGTAATGTAGTTCTCGTCATTTTTTCTGATCGATCTCTTCTGCAAGATCATTGGCTGCATCAGAGTGCCGCTCGCGTTCTCAGAGCCTCTCTGTGTCTTCAGACAAGTTGATTATGGCTGCATGAAACATCTCTTGCTAAAACTCCCTGGCCTTTTGTTCAGGCGCATTATCGCAAAAAAAAGGTGGATCGACAACTCAAATCTGTGGCCATTCTGGACGGTCTGTTGACAAATTTCTCCTTCAGCTCACGGTTTGTGGCTTTCTGTCCTCAAATCCTGAATGTTTTCTTCCTGGTTCAATCTGTCCCGGAAAACAGATTATGACCCGGACATCTCGAGGGTTCATTAGCTCCAGAGGCCCTCTCTCCAATGACCTCGTCCGTCAATTCAGCACCTACATGTCCGAGAGCGCGCGCGAAGGAAATTTGTTCTCGAAGAATAGCCATCGTCACCAGCTCGTCCGTGAAAGCTCGAGCAAACAAATGTCTGGTAGTGGTACGCGCACTTCTTTTCACATGAGCCAAAAGTACATCGGTCATGTGAGTCTACAACATTCTGCATATGGCACACTTCTGTTCACACTCAGTGTCTTCATCATCGTTATACGAAGGCCCCCTGATCATCACACTGCTGGCATCGACTGCTCCTGTGGTTCCGACCTGAGCAAACCTTTTGGTTGCCTGCAGGCCATATTTGCCGCAGTAGTTGTCCTCCCCTTCAAAGTTTTTCTTTTGGCACTTTTCTTTCCTTGCTCCCTTCTTGAGTCGTGGTCGTTGCCTTTCCACTACTGCTCCCTCTCTTCTGCCCTTCTTCCACCATCCATGGCGCAGGTTGTCCAAGGTCCATGGGCATGGGGGCATCTTCTTTTCACATTGTCATCAGAAATCCCACTCATCCAAAATTGTCCATGAACCATGTCTCTTAGCCTTGCTGCCAACTGGCGCTGATGACTCCCATCAACAGAAAATTGCCCTCCCTCCGATCTTGGGCCCACACGCATTGCGTAGCAATCTCGAAGCATGGAAGCCATTGCCTGTCTCTGCGCTCATGGCGGTATTCAAGGCTCTCCTTCTCATTGAAGGCCATCAGCCTTGCCAGGGCCTTTGTCACCTGGTCTTATGGGTACGGGTGACCCTATGCACAGACGGACCCCTTATGTTAGCTTGAAAGCAAAGGGCTGTGGTCAGTGAAAATGACATGCACATCCTCATGTACACTTGAACTTGTTTGGTATTAAAATCTATTCTCTATTTCATGATCTCTCTTTCTTTTTTGGAAAATTGGGACTGTCAAGGGTGTCAAGGGAGAGTGTTGGAGAGTCAAGAGAGTAGACCAAAACAAGTGTCAGGCTAGGATTGTCAGCGTGGGGGGGGGCGTCACAAGTAAGTAAGTCGGAATGTTTTGTAAAGTTCGTGGTTATGTCCTCTTTCTTCCTTCTTCTTTTACAAAACCGATTAAAAAAATAATCTATTCTTTAATTTTTCTCCCGCTCTTTCTGGCCTCTAGAACCGCTTGAGCTTCCGGGGTGTTGCGCATGTCTTCCAAGACGGCTGTCTTGTCTTCTTCCGTCTGTGCCTGACCCAAGCGGGTACAATACCTCGACAACGAAAAGATTGGGGAAAAGCAAAAAACTGAAAACATTTTAAATCAAAAAAAAAGAAAATGTTTAAAAACAAAAAAGTAAAAAAAGAACTGCTGCGCACAGAATCTTCAATCGGTTCTTCAGCAAAAGCTTGGTAAATTCAAAGTTCTCATACTGCAACACTTGCACCAACCTGAGAATGACAAGGCTGAGCGGGAATGAACTGGAATGAACAGTAAGCTCAAGTGTTTGTTCATGAGGAAAAAACATTAAATGAACGTTATCACATGAGTCCACGAACCTGTTCTCGCACTGTTGCAGGTCTTTGATTGGCAGAATTGACAAGATCTCCTTCTCAGTTGCAATGCACTTGTTGGGATCCTGCACCAGTTCGACATGAGAAAAAAGAAACATGTTGCTTTGACTTGTCGATTTCAACCCCGAAAAAACTAGCCAAAAATTACTACTAGCGTGGCACTTGTTTCTAAAAGCTTCTTGTTACTACTAGTAAGGCACCTGTTACTACTAGCGTGGCACTTGTTTCTAAAAGCACAAGAAAATCTCTACACCTTTCCTGGAAAATCTTGCCCAATTCTCGTTGCAGCCTGTCGAGAAACGCTGCGGCGAACGATCGGAACTTCAGGTAGAGGCAGAAAGGGCCTCGCTACTAGTAGCAAAGGGCCTCGCTTCTAGTAACAAGGGCACTAGGAACAATGTTTGCTAGTAGAAACAATAAATTAGAATTAAGCTTAGAATCCAATTAAAACCAAAATGAGTTGTTTCTCCACAAACCTAGAAACCAAGTCCAAGCGAGGGCTCTGCACCCAAGATACTAGAAATGTTCGATCACTACTCCCTTTGCTACTAGCATCCGACTTGAGCACACTTACCTCCTCTTCGCGTCCTATCCCTGCCTTGGTACCTTAAATCTACAATTGAATTTGATCCTAAAGTGAATGTGTGCTTCCTATTTGATAGTCTTCTGATTGAAGATAACATGTCTGGAAGGCCAGTGCGCATCGATTTTCTGGATGTCAACGTTGTACTTGTCCTCCTTCTTCGCTTCCTCCTGTTTTTGTTCTTTCGCACTGAAAACTAAAAAGTTTCAAACGCACAAGATCCGTTGCAGCGTTGCACAGCGTTGCACATTTTCGTCCACTGACGGTTGTTTCCTCTTCGTCATCCGCTTCCAATAAGGTTGCATGAATCCCTCGATCATCCCTGCAGGCAACAAAATTGAGCACGGAAACAAAATGCAAGAATGCATTGAAATCTTCCAACTTCCAGGCCCTGCCTATCATCGTCCATTTTTCCACCTTCGTCATCATCGTCATCTTCATCGTCTTCTCCAAGTTCATGCATGTAGTCCCCACCCTTCGAACGGTCATCATCTGTTTCAAGAACAAACACGCAGCATACCTGACAGAAAAAACTCGTTTCGAGTGGAGTGCCCTTGACCTCATCTTCGTCATCTTCATCGAAGACAACAGCGACACCAGCAGCATCATCCAAACCCTCTTTCGTGCGGACGGTGTCATCCTGTCAAAGTGGCGACTGGCAAAACTGGACATCTCAAAAGAGTCGGAGAGAACAAAGAAAGGCACTTAGGATCGGCCACTTAAGAGTCTTAACCCTTTTTCCACCTTTCCTGACCAAAACGGGTCGTTTTAAAACACCCGACTTCATTCGAAGCGGTTTTGAAGTGTCCGAGCCCGCACGATTCGAGAAGCCGCTTCTGCAAAAGAGCAGTTCTTTTTCGCCCTTTCTAGTAACAAGTGCCTTACTAGTAGTAACAAGAAGCTACTAGGAACAAGTGCATCACTACTATTAACAACTGCCTTACTAGTAGTAACAAGAAGCTACTAGGAACAAGTGCATCACTACTATTAAC